CCCTCTGATAGACCAAGCAGCTTGCTTAGGGCAACCCAAGGGCAGTGCCAGGTTGTGGCTGTGAACCTTGAAGCGGCCCACCCACTGGTCTGGTTATGCTCACTGTTTATCCTCAGAACTGAGCACTCCTCCCAGCTTGATGGCTCTGGTCCTACCGTACTATCCCCCAGTCACATGGGAAAGGCATCCCTGGGGGTCATTTGTTTTTCACCACTCTGCAGCCCTACATCCTTCACAGAGCAGGTGCCTGTGTCCCAGGACTCACCTAGAGAAAACAGTCTCATTGCAGAGACACTTTGAAAAATTAAAAATGTTTCTAGTAAGAACCAGCCGTCTCAGAAAGCCCCTAGTCTCAGAGATTTGCTGACATAGTGGCAAGTTCCAAATTCCAGATTCTCTTACATCCATGAGTCAGTTATGGAGGGTCATATGGTTCTTTCATGCTTTGTGGAGGCAGATTCATTGTCCCAATCAGCTCTAATGGGAGCTCAGTAATGCTGAGTCCTTGGCCTGAGCAGGGTGCTATGGAAATAGTGGAGTAGTAGGGTCAGACAGACCTGGATCCAGATGCTTGCTATGTGGAGTCAGGCAAAGTATTGAACTTCAGTATTCTCTTCTGACCCCCCAAATGTTATTTGGAGAGCTAGTGCTTGTGAGTATTGGGAAAGATTTCCCAAGACAAAGATTAGGACAGAAAGAAGTTTATTTACTTTTCCCTGAGTGGAAAAGGACCAACATGAGGTGGAAAAAGGAAGAGTGTGCTGGCCTCAAACACCGGCTCTTGATGCTCTTTTAGAGGCTTACAAATCCGCAGGTACAGTGGAGAAACTGCTGCATCCATGCCTTTCTTTCATCTTGGCAACAGGCAGATAACAGGAACTGAAGCTGGGCCGGATGTCACTGCCCAAGAGTTGGCTCCCTCGCCCTTCCTTAGAGACAGGATTATCACAGGAGATGTAACTCTGCCCTTCAGATATGATTGAGGTCTGAAACTCGTTCTCCTGCTGTTCACTCAGGAACTCCGTAAAAGCAGATTCTTAAAAGCAGTCTTGAAAGAGAAAGATTTACATCTCATCTCCATCTCTCAGTTCTTTTCAAAACAATTCCTGGTGGGGGACCTGTTAGTGAGAGAACCCATAAGATCGATCTTTAACTGTTACCAGCACTAGGAAATTGCAGAATTAGATATTGTCCTGTTAATGTTTTCACACGTCGCCTTCTCAGTCTATCTGTTGAAGTACTAACCCTCAACAGGATAATATTTGGAGATACAGCCTTTGGGAGTTAATTAGGCTGTATGTAATTAACTTGAGGTCATGGTGTGGGGCCCTCATGATGGGATCAATGTCCTTAGAAGAAGAGACACTAGAGCTCTCCCTCTCTCTCTGCCATGTGAGGACACAGGGAGAAGGCAGCTGTCCACAAGCCAGGAAGAGAGCCCGCACTACAACCTGGCCATGCTGGCGTACTGATCTGTGGCTTTCATCCTCCACAACTGTGAGAAAATAAATTTCTGTTGGTTCAAGCTTACCCAGTTGATGGTATTTTGTTATGGCAGCCCTTGATGACTGAAACAGATGCACCTTTGGAAAATGAGTTATTGGGGGTTTAAATACTTGTGATTGACTTTCCTGGGGTTAAATGCACATGAAGTGCTGGGTGGTGTTCATGGTAGGTGCTTGGTAACTATGAGTACTTATCCACTTGCCCTAGATGCCATTTCTCCTGCCGAAATGTGTGGTCCTACAAGAGGTGGGGACACATCAGAGCTACCCTGCATTTTTCAGGCAAGCTAATGAATTCTTCTATAAAGGCAAGAGAAAAACATGTCCCTAACCACTGCCCCTGATCCAGCACCATCAGTCTGGTGTGCCAGGAACCGGTGCTGTGAGTTAGACATTGCCTGAGAGTTAGACATTCCTTGCCTAAGAGTTAGACATTCACCTGAGTGGCTCCCTGTGAGCTGTCATTCCCAATGGCCCAGCTGTTAACAAATGTTTACTTGGTACCCACTGTGTGCTCTTTTAAGCCCTTTATGAATATTAATTCATTTAAACTTTATAACAACAACTCTATAATGTAGATGCAATTATCACCCCCATTTGACTGTCAAGGAACCTAAACGCCAGGAAGGGTAAAGGTCAAGGTCACACAGCCAGAGAGTGGAAGCACCAGGATTCTACTCAAGAGTCATGGCTAAAGAAAAGGGAGATACTTTTGGTGGCTCCCTGTTCCATCTTTTACCTTATCTCCTTCAAAAATAATTTGGATCCTTTCATAGATCCCCTAGAAAACTGAGACTACTAGGATAACACCTTGCTGTGGAATCCACACCAAAGTCCAAGATAATACAGTTCCTATTTCCTTCCTGTGTATGTAAACTGAAAAGCAGGCAGTTCGGGCCTCACTTATTCTTTCTCTCTGCAAGTATTCACTGAGTGTCTCATGTATGGACCCTGTACAGACTGCTGTGGGTGGAGGGCCCACTGGCAGAGGGAGAGAGCTAGTGCCTGGGCCATGTCTGTAGCCCAGGAAAAGTCTTTTCCTTTGCATGTCATAAGTTATAAAAAGGCTATTCTCTTTAATGAAAAGGAAAAGGTCTACAAGGTATGATAACTAAGGGAATTTAAGAGCTGGCGGCATCCTCTCACTCAGCTCATAGCCCCCCTACTTGTTCCTGAAGAACTTGGGTTTTATCCAGGAGTTAACAGGCACTTTCTAGCCAATGAAACACAGTGGACAAGCCATGGGCAAAGGTGTGCACAGATGCTGCGGGCCTCCCTCCTGGCCTTCGGGAGCAGGCGATGACCAGGTGGAGGACCGTCAAGGAACCTAAACCCCTTAGGCCAGGCGTCCTCAAACTACGGCCCAAGGGCTACATGTAGCCCGCCTAGGACATTTATCTGGCCTGCTGGGTGTTTTTCCCGCCACTGCCTATCCTGCTTAGCAGCCAACTCGTCCCGGGGCCCGCAGTCTGGCCCTCCAATGGTCTGAGGGACAGTGAACTGGCCCCCTGTTTAAAAAGTTTGAGGACCCCTGTCTTAGGCACTCCAGCACCTGGCAGACTTGCGCAGGGCAGGAGGTGAAAGGCAGAGGCTGTGCAAGTTGCTGTGACTAGTTCAGTATCACCAGGCTCATGACTGTACCTCTGATCCCCAGACCCTTCTATCCAACTGCCTACCCCCCTCCTGTGGGTGCTTCATAAGCGCCATAGAATATCTGAAGCTGAACTCATGGTCTCCCCACCAACTTGGCCCTCTTCCTTAATGCAGTGAATGTGGTCAACATCTACCCAGTTATGTAAGCCCCAAACCCAGGACCCATTGGGTGGCTCTTCTCCCTCACACCCCAGTCAGTCTCCTCTAAGTCTGTCCCCTCTGCCCCATCTCCATCATCATCCATGTCTAAGCTCTGTCACCATCATCTGGAATCGTCCTGAATACATGCCCATGTCTGTTCTTCCCTGCACTGTGGCAGAGCAATCAAGAGATGCTTCTGAGACTGATTGGGAGGCAGGGCCAGAATCACTGGCCTGATGTGTACGGGTCTGATGTGCTGAGCTCATGCCCATTCACTCTTTGTTCATTCAGTATTACATTCAGCACCTAGTTACTGTCTCGCTATGTGCCAGACACTGGGAACACAGCCATGAATAAAACAGACCCCTCATTCTCTTTTTTTTTTTTTTTTTTTTGAGACAGAGACTCAAGCTGTCCCCCTGGGTAGAGTGCCGTGGCATCACAGCTCACAGCAACCTCCAACTCCTGGGCTCAAGCGAGTCTCCTGCCTCCGCCTCCCAAGTAGTTGGGACCACAGGCGCCCGCCACAACGCCCGGCTATTTTTTTTTTTTTGTAACACGGTAGATTTTTTATTTGGTTGTACCGGAGAGGGGTGGGACAACCTAATAATTTATTGAGCTGGTATAAAGATAAATGCATACGTGGAAGACATCAAGCCGGTCCCCGCAGTCTCAAGGAGCTGGTGTGTTCCTGTGTAACACTAGCTGGTCACATGTGCCCCGGAGAAAATCAAAGCAGGGGGAGGGGGGAAGAGAATGACAGATGCTACTGTATACGGGGTGGTTATATGGGACAGTTAAGGAAAGTGTGTTCTACAAGCTGGCATCCAAGTACTGATGGAAGGAAGTGAGGGGGGAGCCAAGAGGGGCACTGGAAGAAGAGTGCTCTCCAGACAGAGACATTCACAGTGCAAAGGGTCTTGGGCAGGGTTGTGCTGATGTGCTCACAGAGGTAGGAGGTCAGGTGTGGTGGCTCTCACCTGTAGTCCCACCTTGGGAAGCTGAGCTGAGAGGATCTTTTAAGCCCAGAAGTTTGAGGCTGCAGTGGGCCAAGATCATGCCACTGCACTCCAGCCTGGGAGACAGATCCTGTCACCCACCCTCTGGCACTGGGGCTGGAGGCCAAAGTAGCAGGTGAGGCAAGCAAGGTAAGGCCTGGGGCAGCCCAGGTGGGGCCATTTCTGGGTCGCAACCTGATTGGTTTTGAGAATAGACTTAGGGAGGCAAAAGAGGAAGAAAAGAAGCTGGTGGAATGAGAGGTGGGCTGGTAGAGGCGGTTACAAGGGATCGGAGTCTGTGTTTGGAAGACAGCTTGATAGTCATGGATGGATTATTCTGCTGGGAGGCGAGGTGTGGGGGAGTGTGGAATCAGCTGGTAGAGCCCCTGGGAGCTCCCGAAGATGGGGCTAACGGGGGATTAGACAGCTCCCTCACTGGGGTGTTGGCCCCTTTGCTTTACTTCCCACACAGGCCTTACTTAGATCAGCTGGGCTTTTCCAGGCCTCCTGGCTGTAAGGATTGACCTTGGAGTGTCCTCTCTGCCTGGCCAGAAGTGGTCCCTTGCATTTGGTACACTTCTCTGCAGGAAGAATCGGGGAGAATAAAGAGACAGACCCTGGCAGTGCTGGTGCCGCAGTTGTGACGTCATTGGTTTTACACCTGCAACGCGTCTCTGACTCCCCTGTCCCCGCTTTGTTTCAGAATACAAGGCACTTGATGACTGTGAGGAGCTGGTGATCAATACAACAGCAACGATCAACAATTTATCTTATTACCAAGTGAAGAATTCCGTAATTCGAGACAAGAAGCTATATATTGCTGAATGTAAGGTTCAGAGTGGAGTTTGGAGGAATAAATGCTCATTTAAGTTTTAATTTTACTAACTAAATACAGAAGTGGGGACATTAATATCTTGTCTTCTGGTACAAAGACTCAGATCCTGATCTGATTTTAAGAAACTAGAGCATAGGGAAATAAGACTATGGAAAAACTGGTTTCTTAGTTCTTACTCGAGTCCCTTACAGTTAGTATTTTATTACCATGTTCAACTTTTAAATGGTCAGGATTTAGTACGGTATTGGTTTTCATCAGCCTTAAATGAAAACTTAAATTCACTCATTTTAATTCTTTGGTCACCAAATCTAGTGCTCTTGAAGCTTCTTGTGAGTAACAACATGGATGGAATCCTGGAGGCTGTGCGCGTTTTTGGAAATCTCTCCCAGGACCAAGATATCTGCACTTTCATTGTGCAGAACAATGGTGAGTTAATGATGCTTAAATTCATCAATGAGTGTTTCTTGACAACAATCAGCTGAGTGCTTCTGGAGCTTGGGTCATTGCAGCATCACACTTCCTCTGCTTTGAGGTACATGGGATACCTAGTGCCTACCTTGTGCCCTAAGTGTGAGGCCCCTGGCTCATGGTGTCAGGATGGACTCCAGCAGTGTCCCCTCTCCCTGTGAATGGCCTCTGCACTCAGATACAGGGGGTTTGTATTCATGTGGGTCTATTGGAAACAAACAATCTGCAGTCATCACTTCTGCCCATGGGAATGGCCTCAAGAGACATTCTTTGTTATAACAAAGAATTTTCACATTTTGTTTGTTATAACAAAAAGTGAAAACAATTTAGATGTCCATCACCAGGCAAGAGGGTAAATACTTTGTGTAATATTCATGTAACAAAATGTTCTATAGCACCTAAAATAAATGAACTCAACATACACATACCCACAGGGGTCAAACACATAACGCGGGTGTAATATAGTTAGCAATAAGAGGATATGTACAGAAGAATGCTGCCAATGAGTTTTAAAACATGCAAAGCTATCTTGGGTGGTGATCATTGGTGTGTATTCATGTTATAATGGTATGAAGTATAAATAGTATTTAGAAATGGTAAACTCCACAGAATTTGCCTTTGGAGGGAAAGGGATGTCTAAAAACATAAATTTGGATCTGCAGCGTTTTTACTTTTTGTTTTTAATTGGTAAATACGAATTGTATATATTTACATGTAGACCATGTTGTTTTGAGTGTAACGGATGGCAGTTACCGAAGTGTTTATGCTAACCACACTCTTTGTCTCAAAGATTTCATATAAGAATAATTTTAAAAGCTTAATGGTCCAGGCTCATAACGGAAATTCAGATAATGCAGATATGAAACGCAGGAGCAGCAAACTGTCACTCATTATCTCTCTACTCCAGAGGTCACTGTGAACATTTGGGTGTGCACGTTAGACTCCTCAGAGTGCATGCGGATATGATGTAGCCTTTGCTGAGCTCACTTCCAACCCAGTCAGCAGGGCCCAGGCAGAGCAGGGCGGCCCCTCAGGAGCACAGTCCAGTGGGAGGAGGCAGACCACGCACCTTGTTCTCTCTCCTCTAACCCTTTGCTCAGCCCTGCTGTGGGATGGGAGAACAGGACAGTTTCCAGTTCAATATCCTAGGAGGAGGGGAAAAGGATTCCCCTGAGACAGGAGACATCGCTACACTGGAAGCCCTGCCTTGGCCCAGGTGCTTTCCAGCAACCTGAGTCTTACATGTGGCCCTGGGAGACTTCGAGGATGATCTCACCAGGAGCCAACTCACCAACACCCCCCTCCCCAGCTGTGTATTTAAAGATAGTCGATGCTGGAGGTTCAGAGAGGCCCTTGAGAGTAACCAGCAGTTAGAGATGAATGTTACCTGTGTTCCCTCCTTTCCGCCAGTGGGGAGTCTGTCACTACCCTGGAGAGGGAGCTGCTGCCAGGAAGCAGGCTCTGGAGTGGGGGGTGTAGGGAAACCCACTGGGGGTGAAGCCTTAAGAAGAATAAGTGCCTTAATAGGGGTTCCATTTTCAAGCCATGCCTCACTTCCCAGTGCCATTTATGAAACAAGAGACAGCTGAGAACCCTGAGCTTTCACTGGTCTGCATTTGTTCTCTGCCTTCCCAGTACACAAGTTCATGATTGCATTGCTGGATGCTAAGCATCAGGACATTTGTTTTTCTGCCTGTGGTGTTCTCCTAAATCTCACTGTGGATAAAGACAAGCGAGTCATCCTAAAAGAAGGAGGTGGCATTAAAAAGTAAGTTTCAAGGTATGGAGATCGGACTCCTTTAGGTAGGGAGCTGGGGCCCTTCTCGTCATGCCACTGGAGCAAAGGTATTTCAACACTTGGAAGTCCCAGTCAGGGACTGAAGAGAGGATTTAGATTCCATTGTACACTGAAAATAATTCAGAAGTAGATTATTGCTACTTTTATAGTCACTTCAATTTATAGATAGGAAAATTTTAAAAATCACTGAATTACGTATAACTCATATTAAATATCTTTGTGCTAAAAATATTATAATTAAAAATCGATTAGGACCTACTAACTTCTCCATTTGACTTTTCTTAACTCAGGTTAGTGGATTGTTTAAGAGATTTTGGTCCCACTGATTGGCAGCTGGCCTGCTTGGTTTGCAAAACTTTATGGAACTTCAGCGAAAATATCACGAATGCTTCATCCTGTTTTGGAGATGAAGACGCTAACAAACTCTTAGTGCTGTTGTCATCATTTTTAGGTAAGACTCCTGATTATGGTGAGCCAGAGTTTTATCAGAGGGAGATGAAAAAAATCTTTTTTCCACGAACTGTATGGATAAATATCAGTATGCATCTGGGTAGCTATATTTCTATAAGCAAGAGAGTATGTTAAAATTATTATAATTTGGTGGGCAGTGCCTGTGGCCCAAAGGTGTAGGGCGTCGGCCCCATATGCCAGAGGTGATGGGTTAAACCCAGCCCTGACCAAAAACTGCAAAAAAAAAAAAAAAAAAATTTATTATAATTTGGAACTATCTAGAAGAGGCAGAATGTTATTTATAATAGGGACAGAAGGACTTTTAACTTAGTTAAAATCAAATGTCATGATTTCTTCAATGGCTTTTTTTTTGCATTTTGTATGAATGCATAAATATAAGAAAATCAGTGTACATGTATTTCTGTTGTTAAAAAGTATACAGACACTGTTGTAATTGAGAAAATATGGCTAAAAGCCGCTCTGAATGTTATGCTTTTAAATGCATCTATACATTTTAATTAGCAGCTTTAATGTGGGGGAGGGCCTGTGAAACTATTTGACATTCCAGTGGGGTCCATATCCTTGAAAGGTACAGTATTTTTCATCCTGTCTTAGTCTAAAAAACAATCATTTGGGTCAGTAAATGAGTTGGATGCTTTCAGTAATCCTTTTCCCAAAATGAAGGAGGTGTACCCATCACTTCCCAGCCACACGCTGGGGCAATGTCACAGAGCTTGGTGTGACACAGAGCTATGGGCTCGAACCCTCTGGCTCTCATTAGTGGTGTGATTTGGACAAAAGAATCTATCATAATCTGTCTTTTCATCTCTAAAATGGGAACATGACCCCTGTCCAGTAAGCATCCTCAGAACATAATGGAAAGACCCTGAAAGCTTGTAATCAGACCGTTCTGAATTTAAGTTCTCACCTCATCCCTTACAAGGTTTTTTTCCTTTTTTATTTTTTTCCTTTATTGAGACCCAGTCTTATTCTGTTGTCCAGGCTGGTGTGTTCATAGATCACTGCAGCCTCAAATTCCTGAGCTCAAGTGATCCTACTACCTCAGCCTTCCAAGTAGCTAGGACTATAGGTGCACACCACCAAATTTGGCTAATTTTCAAAAAAACTTTTTTTAGGGATGAGTTCTCACTATGTTGCCCAGGATGGCCTCAAGCCAACCTCCTGCCTTTGGCCTTCCAAAGTGCTGGGATTACAGGTGTGAGCCACCAGCCCATTTGCAAGTTTTTAAACCTTGTGCTTAACCTCTCTGAAATGATACTTCATCATCTCCAAGATGGGGATATTTAACGTCCACCTTGCAGGTAGTAAGAGGAAAAACGAGCAGATGAGTACAAACGAGACAGTGCCTGATATGTAGCAAGTACTGAAAAATGGCTACAGTGCTTTGTCAACTCTTAAGAGTTGTAATGTAATTGAACAGGCACTGAAACTCAAAAGTTATTTGAAAGAATCAATTTTGGGTGGCACCTGTGGCTCAAAGGAGTAGGGCATCAGCCCCATATACTGGAAGTGGTGGGTTCAAACCCGGCCCCAGCCAAAAAACTGCAAAAAATAAAAAAAATAATAAGAAGAAAGAATCAATTTTACTAGGCCGATGTGAAATTTGCTTTTTCCAAGTAAATACAATTTTGTGTATGCGTTTTAAAACACAGAAAGAATGAAAATGAGCATGATTTAAAATCATTGAGGTTCACGGTCCATTCTGTACACATCGTGCTACCTCAGGTTGCCTTAATTCAGTTTTCAGTGGTGGCAGAGCATGGAAATCAAATACATGGCTTCCTCGCCCCAGCCTCTGGGGTGAGGCTGAGAATCTCTGGGTTAAGAATTCCACAGGTGAGTCTGATTCATAGCCAGGGCTGAGAACAGGGAGGATGTCTGCAGAAGAAGGAGGCCAGAAAACAAGATAGTGCCCAGAGCTTTCCAGAGTGCCACTTAAAACCCAGAGTCCCGAGTTGACTCCCTCAGCAGCAGACGCCACATGCTCTACTCCTGGGCTCCCCTGTTCCGGAGACCCAGCTCTGCTACGGCTCTTCTCTCCCTCCTGCTCCCTCCAGGCTCCTGCTCGCTCATGGCTTTGGCCACCTCCAGGCTCTCACCAGCTGCCCTCTGTGCGTCTCTCTAGGTCGCCTCTGTTGGGGCCCTTCTCTGTGTCTCCCATGCAGGGAGAAGATGCAAGTGGCCCCGTGTCACCTTGCTGGGTTGTAAGGCTTCCCGTAGGCAGCAGCTGCCTCTGACAGGCTTTCTGTGGCTTCCTTTATTACCTCCATCTGGGGCAATCAGCCATAAATAACAAGGATAAGGGGGCCACGTGACACAGATGGTGCAGAAGCAGGTGTGGGATGGTGGCTTCTCAGCAGGGCAGCACACCTGGAAGGCCCTTTGGTTTAGTGGAACTATTACTTGTTACAGTCTCTCCTTAGTGTCCGCTGGGTGTTGGTCCTCAGACCCCCTCCCATGCCTAACCCAGGGATGCTCACGTGCCTTATATAAAATGGTGCAGTATTTGCACGGAACCTATGCCTGAATCAGCTCTAGATTACTTACAATACTCAATGCGATGAAAAGGCTATATAGTTATGCTATGTTTTTTAAATTTTGTATTTTTATTGTTGTATTGTTGTTATTTTATTTTTTCAAATCGTTTCAATCTGTGGGAGCCCACAGCTACGCAGAGCCGACTGTGCTCCACTCTCAGTGTGCTCTGACAGTCAAATCAGGCGTCTGCTCGGACTTCTGCACCCTCTGGCTTTGCACACCCCAGGCTCCCTCCCTGGCTGGCCAAATGCTGCTCGCCCCTGCAAGCCCTTCTTGGATAGCTCTTCCATCCCACAGTTGTGGTCTAATCATGGTGAATCTGTATTCTTGAGTAGTTTTCAACATGAACTGCGTAACTTCTCCTGTATTATTGTTTTGTAAGTTTTATCTTATTTCCCCACTCCCACTAAGCCACATTAGGAAAAGGATATTGCCTCATACAAAGAAAGACAGTATGTGGCAGATGCCTGGATTGGCTAACAATAGCGGCGCCTTTGTTTTGATGGTGCGATATCCTTCCAAAGGGATGCTCATTCTATTTTCCCAAGAGCTCTCTGAGGTCATTAGCTAGATGACAAGACAAGACAGTAGGCCTAGGAGGGTAAGTGACTTGCCCAAGGTCAAACTGTAGCAAAGCCAGGACCATGAATGAGAAAATGAGCCTTGTATTTTCCTGCTGTTCCATGACATACACCCTCACACCCCCCCGGCCTGTGGAAGGGACTGTGGCATGGATGACAACAGATAAACACAGTTTGGTCAGGGAGCTGAATCACAGACGCTCATGTGACTGGGATCCCCTCTGAACCTGGGGACTCTGTGGGGAATCTGCTGCTTCCTGGCTTTCCTCCCAGCAGTGGGCACGAAGACCCTGCTGACATGGTCATCGCTGACTGGACAGTTGGGCTGCGGCGCGTGAAATGAACACGTGTATGAGAGTTTCTTCGAGTATCGATTCTCTTAAAACACAGGCCATTTTGAAAACAGGATGAGCTATTCAATCACAAAGGCCCGTGCTAAAGTAGCAGCACTGTTTTGGGTTTTTTTTTTTTTCTTTTGGTGTGTGTGTAGAAATAACGGCAGTTATTCCATTTAAGCTGCTTAGGGCTGCACACTGCTTAGAGCAGTGTAGCCCAAGCACCATGCAGTTCCCTCTTCAACCCAGAGCTTCATTGGATTTGGTAGTAACAAAGTAATATGCTTTGCCTAACTTTTTCTTGCTGGGTGACTATAAGAAAAGGAGGACATTGACAGGTTTTCTGGAAAGTGGCTTAAGAAGAGTATTGTCCGAGACTTCCCAGTAGACAGCAGTTACGTCCTATGAACTTACCAGTGGTGTGCTGGGCTTGCGCTTCCAAAGTGGTGAGCCCCTCTGGGGGAGGGGAGGGCTGGCAACTGATGGCCGGTGTGTGTGGTTTATTGTTACAAACAAGAAGTAAGTTAGGCTGTTATATATTTATCATAAGGTGTATGGAACACAGCACCCAGATTTTGTGACAAGTAGAGGGGCCCAGTGTTCAAGTTGGAGGATCACATCATGAAACCTGTGCCAGAGAGCTGTCAGGTGCTTCTGGAGCAAGAGGACTGTACCTTATGAGAGAATAGTCAGGGCAATAAGAAATTCCTTACACAGCTAGCTGGCACTGACCAGCAAGCTGGGCAGCAGTGTAGCACATAGGGGAAGCTTAAACTATAATGGTGATTGTGATTTATAACACAGTCTTTACAAATCACAGACAAATTTAATTGTTTGAAGTCTTCTAATCCTTTCTAAGAACTTGCCCCCAAATTTCACACTGAATTTTGAAATGTGCCAGGCACGAAGAAGCTTAAGAATGATGGGTTGTATAAAACGGTGCTTTTCACACTGTGGGCTATAAAATCAGTTTTAGTTGGTTGTGACCAGCATCATTAAAAAATAAAGTAGCAAAGAAAGAAAATATCAGGGCACATTACATGTCGTAAGGGGATGTATTCTATTAGTAAACATCTGTTATTTGTATGTGAGTATCTTTTAAGTATATGCATATGAAGTTATGACATAAAATGGTTCTTACTATGGGTCGCAGTCAAAAGATTTGAATCATAGATCTAAATTTGTATTGAGTCAGCCACGACTACTCTTTTCAGTACAGATTCACATTTAATACCCAATGTAATATGGCACTTTTTATTTTGCTATATTTACTTTGAAACTTCAGACTGCATTTCTTTTACTTACAGCAATTTTGCTATTCTTATTGTCTTGTCTAACCCAATTTAGAATTAACATGGGTTGTGTGTAGATTAACTATAGGCTGGGCCTCAAGAAGTAACATTGTCTTCTGTGACATGAGATTAAAAAAAAACAACAACAACAGGTTTTGCTAAAACTACCAAATCCAACCAAAGCCCTGGGCTGAAGAAGAAACTGCAAAGTGCTTGGGCCACACTGCTTAGCGCTAAGCAGCTTGGGAAAGCTGGGCATCAAACAGAATGCATTTTTCACAAAAGTTTAGTGCTCAGAAAATCTGGTAAAGAGCGGGCAGGAAGATGACCTAAAATGCGAATTCCCTGAGTCTGGCAGACTCTTCCGACTTGAAAGTGGCTAAATGGGAAGGGCTTTAACGGCATCGAGCCGTCAAGCAGCACCGGCCTTCTGCTGCCTGCATTGCCTGGTTATCTTATAGGTGGGGAGATCCAGGGTTGCTTCCAGGGTCTCCATGGAGCTCGCTGCTGAAGTGTTTGTGTCTGCCTGGAGCTTATCTCAGAACTGCATAGCTGTCCACTTGGTTGGGAGGAGGGGAAGGTACAAACAGACTCCAGACTCCCTTATCTTATTCTGGGTGGTGACATTAATACCTGTAGTGCTAAAGTAGACATTGAATGTACACAAAGGTTCAGCGTAAAAAATCTGATACAAACAGAGTGGTGGAGCGTTTTATGTAACAGGATTTTAATTTGCCCTATGAAAACATGTTTGCAAATTATGTCCGTAGCAATGTTTGTGGTCATCTTAGGACTTACTGGTTACCAGCTAAGAAGTCTGCCTCAGGCCACAGACCTAGGACATGGTACAGCCAAGCTTCTGACCTGCAGGCCAGCGCACTGTCCCAAGGTCTGTCACTCAGGGTGTGAAGCCCAACACAAACAAGGAAAAATGTGGTGGCAAGTCAGCACAGACACCTCAGGGGCCATTTATCTTGACTTGGGTCAAATGTGTTATGATGTTCATAAAAATTCAGTGCCCGTGGATGAGGAATCAAATTAAAGTTGCAATTTTGCATTTTATTTTTACAAATAAAATAAATCATCCATGTGCCATCCATGGACTCACATAAAATTTTAATTTTAATACTCCCTGAGATTCTCAAAGTCCCCCAGTTTTCACAGTCATTTGAGAGAGTGTGGGGATAAGGAGTTGTCTTTTCAAAGCACTATATCCCCACTGCTTCAAAGACAGCAAAGTTTTTTGATTTTCAGTAAAATTTCAAGGGTCAAATTTAACTGAACTGCTTTCCCAAAAGATTTCCTGACATCTTTTATATCTGTCAAAATTACTTAAGTAATTTTTAATGTACATACAAAGAAGTAATCTAATATTACACTTTGTTTATTCTGAGATATTGTCACTTGACTTTTGAATATACACTTAACATGTAAAAAACCCAAGAAATTAGTTAAAATACAAGCTCAATTGAATCTATTTAAAAAAATTTAAAAGAAACTGAATTATGCTTATTTAAAAATGATGTATTTTAAAGAACAGAAGAGAGTAGAGAATGTCTCCCAAATCTTATCTTGTGTTATGCTAGTATTATAGATAAGCGTAATCATGTCAACATTAAACACTGTTCCACAGGATCACATTTCTGAATAATTGCTGTAATTTAAATTTTTCGGATGCAGATGAAGAACTAGCACTGAATGGCAGTTTTGACCAAGACCTAAAGAACTATCACAAATTCCACTGGGAAACGGAATTCAAACCTGTGGCACAGCAGCTTCTAAAGCGGATTCAGAGACATCACACCTTCCTGGAACCCCTGCCTGTGGCTTCTTTCTAATACGATCGATGCAGATTAACAACAGAAACAGGAAGCCAGGTCTCCCTCATTTTTAAGAAGTGGTAACAAATATGAACATTTTTTTTTCGATATTAACAAATATTCAAAGATTTTCAAGTACTGATTTTAGTGAGTAGCCTAGGTCTTTTAAAAGGAATAAGCATTTACCTTTGTTAGGTCTGATGGAACAATGAATATATGTGTTATATTTTCTGGTATGAGAAATGTAAGATGGAAAGATATACTTTTTTTTTTATGTAAGTAACTTTTTTCTTTTATGATCGATTAAATAATTTAGTTCTAGTTTTAAAATCTTGATTTAGCAATTGGGAATGTAAGTATGTGTCAGTCTATTAGTTAAATGAACATGGCAGTAAAGATGATGTATGGGGAAAGAGCGGTGGCCAGCCTGAGTGAACACATGAGCATCTAACTAATTCTTACTACGTCTAAGAATATGTTTTCTGATTAGGTCCTGGTGTTTTCCCAGTCCTTATATTCAGAGAAAGGAGTAAGCAGCAAAACTTGGAGAAAACTGCTTTAGGCCATCTGTTCTTTACTAAATAAGTAAAATAGATGAAAAAAGGAATGTCTTACCTCTTTCTTTTCATTTGAAATAAAATGACTGGACTAAACAGTCCTTCTGATTGTAAGTCTCTGTGTCTGGAGAGGTGATCGGTGTATAAGAAATGCAGGCCTAGGTATATGGCAGATCGGTTTGAATTGTAACTCTCCCCTGCTAGCTGTGTGGGCCTTGAGCAAGTAACTGAATTTCTTGAGCTTCAACTAGAAAATGGGAATAATATCTATTTTAACATAGCATAGCATAATGG